AGGGGTGTTGAAAAAGAATCTGTTTATTGTGGCTACAACGAAGTGAAAGCAAAAATGAGGAAATTGGAGTAAACTTTCTCATGTTTTGGAAGTGGAAATGATCTGTATGTCATTTGCAGCCCGTGCCATCACCATCGCCAATGCCGACGTCGAAGACACGCATGCAATTGCCGCCGTTCAGGAACGGGTTCGTTCAATTCATATTTCTACTTTAATTTTTTTGTTTTTGATATTCCCCTCTGTAGAAGAAAGGCGCCGCTGGCCGAGTTCGAGTCGTCCGTGGTCGAGGACTCGCCGGCGGTTGAGAACAACCCGTTGACGTTCGAAAAATGGAGCAACAGTCCACGAAGCAAGAGGAGGTCTGATAATCCCTTGCTTCACTCGACTACTCCTTAACCCCTGAGGGTTCTCAAGAAGCATGTCTTCATTTAAGGCACTCGGCGCACATAAACGGATTTGCGGAGCCAATTGCTGAGGAAAGCGATGGGAACGGCAACGTCTGTCAAGCTCCCACTGCGCCTACCTCATCCAGTAAGTGCACATTCGAGGTTCTGCTCAAAGCTAAAAGAGATATTTCCCTTTGAGATGATAAGCTTTTAAAATTTTATTTCCAGTACATTTTGATTACCGCTAATCAATGTTACGGATAGTTGTTTTCGATGATTGTTCTTCATGAAATTTAGCCCTCAAATTTTTTATCCTCGAACCTGAACTAGGTTATCTCAGACTAACTTCGTCCCCTCTTCATTCAAAAGGTTGTGATATAAACGAAAATCTCCCCATCGGATTTATGATCTTTTACTGGTCTAGCTGAGTTGAAACTGACCACTTTTGCAGCGGTTCAGTCCACTTCATCACGCTGACAATTGGGAGTCAAGCCTTGAGTTGGCTCTTGCTCGGGCCAAGCGAACCCGTCCTCCCACTGGGGCCACTTTGGTACCAGAATCGTGTGAAAGGAACACTGAGTTCTACAACAGCCGGTCCCTGAAATTCTTTATATGAGCCATGTCCCAATCCCGTACCTCTTTACAACGTCACCCACAATTCTTAGTGAAAGTGGAAGACGTGGCGCATCCCAGAAAGAGGCTAGTCGTGGATTAGCATCCAGTGGTCGGGAGCTTTTTTCAGCTCTTTTAGACATTTTTGCTTTGGAGCATTTTTGCTTTATTCAGTATATTGACTGTACTATTATATATCCACAAAACACGAACAGAGTACTCATGTTCGGTTTGACTCCTGGAAGTCAACGGGCTACAGAAGATCGCCAGTGTGACGCAGAGCCCTCAGTAGGCTATGTATAAGGCCAAAATAGGTAGCGCTCACGCAAAGATCCGCTTTAACGTGCTCCTTTCCCTGTTAATCGAGTTCACACGAGGATCATTCCTAAGATTTCTCATTAAGTTACCTAATTAAGGAACGGAATGTGCGATGTCTCCGGCCATGACACGACATGAACCAGCTCCAGGACTTATCGACGATGAAATACTGTAAGTTTTTCCCTGAACCTCTTCCATATTCTAGATTCAGGGCATCTTCACTTGTCCGTGAAATCGCGATTTCGAATTAATTAACCCCTTAATGGACTCGGATCGGGTTCACGGATTTTTTAGCAATGCGATGAGATCAAATGAGTGATCTTAATCCCAGTTATTTCCGAGTAACCCCATCTTGCCCTCTTTGGGGAACCTGATAGCACCACCAGTGATCCTATGGGTGAAAAAGGCTTCCTATACGAAGCTTTCCGCCGAGTACAGCGCGGCGGAAGATTATTGGTTTCATCTGTCATCTTTAATACCCTTATACTTCCTATGAATCCTGCATTTAATCATATGTATGGAAGATAGCCACCCATGGAGATTACATGCGACAGCCCCTTCCCATTGTCAATATTTCCTTTTTGTGATATCCTTTTAGAATGAAGTGGTCCATATTGATATTCTCAAGCGTTTAGGGACCAGCCCATGCTGGTTGGCGACACATTTTCGCATTCTGAGTCGTCTGATTGTCTGTCAGCTGTGAGAAGAATGGAATTCGAAGCCGAAAAAGCCACTCTCATCTCGATCGACCGCTCGCTTGTCGACGACGATTCGCTGTAAGTTTATTTTATGCGATCTGAACAAATTCGCCCCCACGTGAACGCGACATGTTGGGATTAATGAGATCAATTCTGCTCCCCCCCATCCCCCACCTCCCAATCTCTATTGGAAAACAGGTTATTATCCCAGATAGAGCGAAGGCCACCAATTGGCCTCGGATCTTTTTCGTTCAGTCAGTGAATACCCTTAGTGACCTTTTGACGAACGCATCTCTTTGATTGATCGTGCGCTAATCAACGTCTCAATGAGGGAGCGGTTTTCGATCGGTAGGAACCACAAGTGCGGGGTGGGAAGGGAACGGAAGGTGTCGAGGGGGTTGAGACTGGGCGGGGGCGACAAGCGAGGGTGAGAGAGAGCGATCGCGTGTCCCAATCGCTACAGTTGTTATGGTCGATTGCCTGCTGTCGGCTGTCGTTCGAACTCTCAGGTTCGTTTTCACGCCATTTCGCTTTCCATCACATTATCTCGGCTCGTCCCTTTCTGTCCTTTTCTGTTCGTTCCACCATCACGGCACCTATGCGAAGGACTTCGGAATCGATTCCGTTGAATTCCCATTCCCGATCGGCGGCTGATTCACATCACACTGTCCAACGGACATTCTGTTAATGGTGTGTGCAAAGGCTGCCGGCTGCCTCAGTGGGATCTTTCGACACATCCACAGGTCTGATTCCTTTCCACATTTCCTCCCGGGGGCGTTTTAACCAACATAACCATGGCCAGCTGGTCTCTATCAAGTTGGCTATGCAAGCTAACATCCCATCTGCCTTTTGCATTTCCTAATGGACCTACTGCAGTTACGTAGCGGTAATGGACCTATTGAAGTTGATACGCCTGACGTTTTTACCTTTTAGGACAAAACTAACCGAAAAGCTAAACTAACTGGTCAGAAGCTAAGCGATGGGCGAAACTGGTCCATTTTATAGCCCCCATCTCCCTTTTATTCCGCGTTCCGTCCACTCTCTCAAATTTCTTTGTTATTTTGCACCCTTGAAAAGCCTCTCTGTTTCAGGCCACGACGGACCTACGACAATGGCAATGCACAGTCTGCCACAGCGACGTGAGTCCTAGTCTTATTTCACATTAAAATCCCAACAGCTGGCTGCTCATCGTGTTTTTCAACTGGGTCATATGCGCCCTGGTCGTGTCGTTTTCACTGTTTTTCTCATGACAACGTGAAAATTATATTGATCGATCAAGCCCTCGTTCGAGAACCGCCTTGTCGTTGAGGAAAGGAGTTTGAGGCTACCTGGAACGCCGTGGTTGACGCATCGGCTAACCAGTGGGCTCCGGTTTCGCTGAAGAGTTCTTCATTCAACGACTTGAGACATTTCTGCGAGTCTAATACCAAAAGCGAATCCGGATCCTGTTTGCATGAAGTTCATACCCGTTTTTTGGCTCTAAATTCCCTAAGCGGTTGAACGACCACACTAAGGGAACTTGAACAGTTGTTGTGCCTTTAAATGAATGGGAATGGTAATTTTGTAACTGATCACCAGAGAAAAACGAGTTTCTTCTCAGTTGTACTTTGCAATCGCAATGGGGGAATGGTGAAAAAGTAGACATGCTTCTGATTCTGATAAATTGCGATGGAAGGCTATCGAACGTAATAGACCTCGCGTCTGCTATCATATGAAGTGCATGTGGTTATGCTAAGGTTCCATCGAGGGAGGGGAGGGGGCGTATTTGGTCACTTGAGGGAGGGGGTCTATGTGCCTTCGATAAACTTGTTAGGCAGTTGACTTCTCTTAATAGTTTCGAGAAAATATCGGAAAGCTAGGAAGCTGGCGAAATTCAGTGGATGATTGGTAGGACCTAGAATGGGGAAGGGGGGGGTCTCACCTGAGAAGGAGCTCTAAAGGGGGGAGGGATATTTTACATAAAATTCTCCCAACGGCAGGGCGTGCCATGGTCATAGACTGCGAATAAAAATTATTGTTAAGCCATGCAGAAAATCGCAAACAATTTTTATAAGTAGTGGCTAGTTAATTTTTCACTTACAGTTTTTTTTGCAAGATCTGATGCAATTTCGAATACGCTGAGAACGAAAATTCATATTTGTGGACGATGACGTCAAATGGGTGTCACACTGGTGTTTGCACAGAAGCATTTCTGCGAAAGGCTATCAATAAAGCTAACACACCAAGCTTTCGGCTTCGATCTATCCCTTTTTTGAGAGTCCCACGCTTTCTGATTCCTCTCAGAATCTAAGAGGCCTTTTGAATGCGATGGGGTCCAGGTGAAAACTTACAGGGAGAGAAGGTTTTGGTGTGTACATCCTCCCGATCGAACCCAACACCCTCTCACTTGCCCGCCGATGGAAGGCCCGGTTAGCCGGGTGGGAACCCATACGAGATTCGATTCCAACCAGGGCACGTCCTGGCGTTAGGGAGAATCTTCGATAAATAGGATACCCTCAAATTGCTTCCTTTGGGACGACCCCTTGCACTGCTG